CGGATTGCTGGCTAAAAAATACTAATTTTACGCTTCTTCTATTTTCAAAATCATTATAGCCTTGGTTAAACTCGTCCTTTTCTAAAATGATTTCGTAATATTCCATTCCTTCTGAATAATGGGGAGGATAGTCAGCATAACAACAAGGCTCTTTAATAAATTCGCCCGTTTGAACCTTCTTTTTGCTTATTTTCCTCACTTTTCCTAAAAATTGAAATGCCATTAATTCCATACACTTTTATTGGCTAGGAATTTGTTTTATTTGACTTTTCTTCAATTATTTCCCAAACTTCCTTAAATACTTCGTCTTGGCTTCTATCAGCATTAATTATGTGAACCCTTTCCGGAAAATAACTTTTCATTTTTAAATAACCATTGCGAATTACTTGGTGAAATTCTAACTTAGAATTGTCTCAATTATTTGGTTCTGCCCCCGTTTCTTGCCGTCTTTGATTTATTCTTGCGACGGTTTTTTTTGGTTCAATATCTAAGACAAAAGTTAAATCGGGAAGAGGAATATCAATAGTGTTTTGTCAAACCTCAACTAATTTAGTAATGGGAATTTTACCCCGAATTCCTTGGTAAACCAAAGTGCTGTCAATATAACGGTCAGTTAGAACTGTTTTGCCGGCGGCCAAATCAGGCTTGATTACGGTTAAAACGTGTTCATTATGGTTAGCAGTAAAAAGAAAAAATTCCGTTCAAACATCAGTAATTAAATTTCTTTTCACCAAATTTTCCGTAACCAAGTCCCAAACTTTTTCTCCTAAAATAGTGCCACGGGGTGATTGAGTAATAACCGAATTAATAATTGTTTCATTTAGTTTTTTAATTAAGGTAGATTTACCACTACCATCTATCCCTTCGATGGAAATTAATAAGGCTTTTTTATTCATGTTTTATTAGGTTATTTTTTTGCAGAGATTTAAGCACTTGCGGAAGAAATGTTTTGCTGGCTTCGGAACTTAATTCATTAGCCTGTTGGTAGGTAAAAAACTTAATATCTGAAACTTCGGAATTTTGTTTAACAATTTTTCCGTTAAAATCATTAGTTTCAAAGAGATGCGTTTTCCATCATTTCTTACGATAATAAATTCATTCCGTGCAGAGCAGTTCTAAATTATTTATTGTCAGATTAGTTTCCTCCCTAATTTCTCGGATAGCACATTCTAAGGGAGTTTCTCCTTTATCTATTGTCCCCCCCGGTAAGTTTCAACCTTTGCCAATATCATAGACCATTAAAAATTCTTCACCTTTTCAAATAACTACTCGGGCATTCTCTCCCTCAACACTGTTGTACCTTTGAGAAATTTTCTCTAATTTAACAATCGGAACATAATGTCAACGACAATAACTGCCGTATTTTTCTCCTCCGCCGACATAATCGGTGGGTTTTTCTGGTAATTTAGTTAACTTTCATTGACTTTTAATACCTTTCTCTCGACAGCTCTCTATTTGACATTTGGTTCATAACTTAACAACCTGTTCGGCAGTAGCCAACAAATCAGCCGTAGTATAAAAAGGTTTATTTTTGAAATAATTTCAGTCTAATCCCGCTACTATTATTTCTTTATTCTGTTTAATTAATTCTTCTAAATAAGGTACTACATTAGGTTTAAAAAAATGTATTTCATCGATAAAAATACTTTCCGCTTGCTCTTTGTATTGTTCTATTTCTTCAATATTAGTAATGGAAATGGCCCTAATTCCTTCTCCTTGGTGAGAAACTATATTGTTTGAATCATATCTCTTATCAATAGAGGGTTTAAACACCAAACACTTTCGGAAATCTTTCAACTGATTATATTTTTCAATTAGCAGACTAGTTTTGCCAGCAAACATCGCCCCAGTAATTACGGTGAGAGAACCTATTTTTATATTTTTAAGTCCTTTATTCATGCTTAAAATTCTCTTTGTTTAAATTGCTTAGCGAAGTTTTAATTAACAACACCTTGTCATTATGTTTAATGGTCGGATAAAAAGGGGCAACAACAATTATTTTATCATTGCTCTCTACTATATTGTTGAGAATGTTAGGATTATCATCTATCACTACTTCACAATCAGGAACATTTTTTTTAATTCAATCACCTTTGGTTTGGCTTTGACCTTCACTATCAAAGCCCAATAGATTTAATGAACAATTGGGAAACTTGCCAAAAGTCTCACTAAATATTTTCTTCTTGCGGGGGTCTCCATCCGAAAAAGCTCTTTTATCATAAGCAGAGAGGAAAACCACCTCTACTTTATTTTCTTTTACTAACTTTAACAATTCTTGGGCCAGAGTAAGGAAGGGAGAATATTCGTAAAAATCAGGCTCATTTTTTATTTTGTCAATCTTATCTTTGACACTTCTCAGACCAAGAGCAAAACTATTACTCTCGCTTAAACAACTTTTTACCATACTTTTATCGGTGTAAATGGAATGACTACCGTAATCAGAAAAATAAATAGGGGCATTAGGTCAAAAATCTCGAAAAAATTCTTCAAATTTAGTTCCATTTGGTTTTCACCAAGGCGCATCATAATAAGTTCCCTCTCGCTCCGATAATTCATAATATACCTTGGGCTCAAGTGGTTGAATTACCTCGTCCCAATCACAAACAACTTGTAATTTTTTGGGAGTATTTTTGAAATAATTATAAAGGCAATTAATCACTCCTCTCCTTTTAGCCTCTTCTAGATATTTCCATTCTTTTTCTACTTCCTCAGTTTGTAATTTTTCTTTAATTTCCTTGTTTTCGTCTTTTTTTAATCTATCGTATTCTTTACCCAATTTTGTTTCACAATCAGAACAAGTTATATCCCCTAAACCCATTTGCCTCCAATAAAAAAATATGTTGTTTCTGTTAAGAGCATATTGGTAAAAAATATTTTTCTTAAAAAGTTCAATAGTTTTATTCGTTAACTCACAACATTTTATCAGATTTGGTTTTTTTTCTTTCATATTTATTAATTAATTTTGTTAAAGAAAATGAGAAATTAGATTAATATGATGGCTCGAAAAGACCATTTGCCAGACTTCCAAAACACTCTCCTCCCAATAACTTTTATGATGAAAAATTAAAAGTGCCATCGAGAACAAGAACACTTAATAAAAAGTTCTTTTCCAAGAAAACTTTGCTTACGACCAACGAACTCAAAAGCTCTGATTACGGTTGTTTTGGCAATATCTTTGCTATTAATTATTTTACTAATCCTGCCAAAAATAAGAAGATTGATATATAAAGTTATGCCTAGTTAGATATTGAACCACTGATTAATATGAAGAAACTTTTACAAAAGATTTTAGTAGAAGCCGAAGATGAAGTAGATGAAATGGCTGCAGTCCAAGCCTTTGAAGTTAGTTAT